CTTATTTCAGAGAGGTGCACCATTCCAAGATGCCACAAACAGAGCAGCTGGAATGAAAGAAGATATAAAGGAGAAACTATTTGATTGGAAGGCAGACACTGAGAGAAAAGCCGATGAAGCTGGCAAAGCTGTCACACGCAACCTGGATAGCAGTCAGCAAAAAGTGGCTGACGTGAAACGAGAGTTGCATTGTCAAAAGGGATCAAATTCTCATGGTGGCAAGGAGTCGCATCTCTCTCCCGAGGATCAGAAAGTGTTGGAAGAAACTAAAGAAAATCTTGAGAATATTTTCAATGATGCAAAGAATAAGGCAAATGGAGTGATTGACAATGCAGCTGGGAGACTAGCGAAATTCAGAGCAGAGATTGAGAAATCAAATAAGGCAGGAAATGATGCTGCTTTGCGTGCACTTGCTGAAGCCCAGAAGAAGGCAAACGATCTTAAAGGTGAAGTGTCCAAGAATGTGGCCGCTTGGAAGAAGGAAGTTGGAGGAATCGCATCAGGCGTCAAGAACTCAGGTGTTAACGCGCTAACCGATGCTGAGCGTAAAGCAGCCGAAATGCAGGCTGCTGCTGGAGGTCAGCTGAATGGATTGAAGAATGATGTTGAGAAAAACCTTGCACAGGCTAAAGACTCCCTTTCGCGTGTGATTGACGATGCTCAACGCAGGGCTGGCGAAAAGGAGGGTGAAACTGCTGCGAAATTGGCTGCTCTGAAGACAGAAGCTGAGCAGGCAGCTGCGAAAGCCAACGAAGCTTCTATGAATGCACTTGACGATGCACAGCGGAATGCCGCTCACCTTAAGGATAAGACTGCCCAACACCTAACAGGTTGGAAGACTGAAGCCGAGAGAATAGCTTCGCAAACCGAAAATACATCTTGTAAGGCGCTCGATGATGCACAAAGAAAAGCAGAAGCCATTCGAAATGATGCATTAAAGGTAGTTTCTATTTGCCCTCTTTTATAGAACTTTCTTAGTTTAGTGTTTAGGATGCTGATGCAACTATCGCCACCGCTCAGGTTAAGGCTAACCAGATGAAGATGGATGCTGAGAAGGTAGGTCTACTCCAAATTGGTACGGCTAGCACAGCCTGTTGCTTGGTTAAGGAATAGAAATTCCTCTAGCGTATTCTACATCTGATCTTTTCCCAGAATAAGCTGGTTTTTATGCTCAGAATGACAAGCGGCTGGTTTCTTAAACAATAGCTTGTATCTGATTACCCATAAAAATTCTAGTTTAAAGGTCTCTTTCATCAACGGGGTACCCATATTCTTTTGTATATGCTTGGGTCGATGGTTTAACATCCATTCCGTTCTTGGAACCCATACATACAATCACAGCTCGAACGCCAGATTTATCTTAGAGTAACAAATTTTGATCATCAAACAGTTTTTTGTCAAGGCTGAAGTACAAAAATTTGCTGAAAGGAGGGGACTATTGGCTTATTACATAAACATAGAGAAGCAACTACTACTGGCTTGCCCTCTAAGTAGGGAGAGAGAGAAAAAGAGGTCATTTAAGGTATCAAGAGACTATTCTTCTATCCCCATTTTTTGCAATCTGTTGAGGTTGAGCTGCTAGGAGCGACAAAGTAAACAAAATCAGCTCTTCTATTCTGCTGTTTTGTCATTCGTTTATAATTGGAACATTTACAATGACAACGGAATGTTAGGGGACTGTGGCTCAAGTTCTGTGAACAGAAGTGTATCGTTATCAACAAAATTATCGACTGCCCTTTCTGTTTTCTAGTTAGTAGCAATTACTCGCACCAGAAATCTCTTGGTTTATATCACCAGTCATGCAATTAGACAACTTTTTCAGGCTGCCTCATGTGCTAGCTACATTCTCGATGCGAAAATGGCTAAGGTTCAAGAGAAAGCTGAAGAGCTGAAAAAAGAAGCTAACAAGGTGGGTAATATAGTCAGAAAAACTTCGGGCAAGTTTAATCCGATCTTTTCAGGCTGCTGATGAAGCCAACGAATTTGTTCAGGTACATCATGAAAAGAAGGTTGAGATTAAAGAGATTAAAGAAGGAGTAGGTTGAACTCTTAGAAAAAAACATTTGCGT